CACACACACACACACACACACACACACACACACACACACACACACACACACACACACACAAACAGAGAAGTTTTCATTTACTCTGACTCATGTTTTTTTCCAGACTGGATTATTCAGTGAAGACACAACTTTTGTGTTTGAATGGTCTCCTCAGTTTGAGCCAGAATACAGCACGCGTCAGTGAAACACACACAGACACACACAAACACACAAAGCCTGCATGTAAGAAAGAAAAGTGCCTCCATTCTTCCTGCAAACACAAACACTTAACTAATGTTACTGCTCTGTGCTGCACAGATGAGAGACAGGACTTGTGTGGCTGCTGTGGGTGGAGTGGAGCACATTTCAGGGGCATGAATCACTGCGGTGTGTGTGTGTGTGTGCGTGTGTGTGTGTGCATGTGTGTGCACATGTGTGAGTCACAGCATGTCTCCTGTTTAAGAGGGCCGTCTTTCTGCTCATGACAGCAGAGTCTCAGCTGGGAACAGAAACTCAATTAGGTGAGTACTCAGAGTGAGTTCTGTGGAAAGAATGAAAATGAGTGTAAATTCAAACACAGCCTGAGGTGGACGTGGCTCAACGTGTGCAACGTTTAGTTAAAGCTGCATGTGTTTCCTGCTCTTTTACTTCTGTTATCATGCAGTAAAATCCTGCAGAATACTTTGAGTTTCTCTGGTGTTTGACAGTATTTTCTCCTGCATCTCATTATCATCCTGCACAGCTCCAAGCATGGCCCGTCTGGATCAGGTCATCACAAACATTGTGGACATTTTTATGGAGTATGCCGACGACGAGGGCAAGAAATGTCAGCTAAACAAGGAGGAGCTGAAGAAGCTGTTTGAAACTGAGATACAAAGCCCCGAGTTAAAGGTGGGCACTAATAACAACAGTAACCACACGATAATCCACTTTGTTTGAGGTTTCTTGTGTGTGTTTCGTGCTGCTAACCGTACAAACATCTCCTCCAGGATGAAATCAGTGCAAACGACATCGAGGAGGCCATGGAGATGCTGGACAAAAACCACGACGGCGAGGTGAACTTCCGTGAGTTTTGTCGGTGCGTGTGCGACCTGGCCAAGTGCTACTACCACAAGAAGACGGGCAAGGGGGGGAGGAAGGGCAAGGGCAGAGGGCAGGGGAGCGACCAGGACGACTGCAAGAGCTAAAACTGCTTTTAAAAACAAGAAAAACATGTAAAGTCAGGGGCGCCACCAAGAGGGGGGCCAGGGGGGCTAATGGCCACCCGTATATATTTGCTGGACCCCCCACAGGTCCTCCTTTGCCTTTTCTTCTGTGTGGCTTTTTCATTTCCTGTAGCTATTTAGAACTAGTGCAAGGTCAAACATAAAAATATATTGTTTTTAAATAATTAGTAGTCACAAAAATAATAAAACTAATGGTAATTCTATTACATGACAGTATTTTGCAAACAGACTGATTTACTCATTTAAAGGGAACTCTAAACATTAGCCATTATTTGATAAACAGTTACTTTAACTATAAAAACAAGACTGTAAAAATACTATAGCTTGTTTAGTTTTTATAAATTAAAAGGAAAAAAATTTCACACAAACATATTTACACCCTAAAGCAGGGGTTCTCAAACCATTTGGGTCTGGGGACCCCTTATAACAGCAATAAATAAATAAATAAATAAATAAATTCCAGGGACCCACTCATAAACCCTATGCTGTTTTAAAAGATAATTTATTGTTGTTTCAACCCGTAAATGCCATGGAAATATATATATTTATTTAGTTTATTATGTTTGTTTTATTAGTTCATTGTTCTTCATGCATTTTTAAAAATAAAAACCAAATTAACAATTTAGTGACATTTTTTTGAGGACCCCCAAGATACCTCGCACGGACCCCAGTTTGAGAACCCCTGCCCTGAAGCATTCTGGGTAAATGATGATGCTTACTGGTGCTCCGGTGCGAGCTCTATCCACTTTGAGTGATAAATTTGTTAAATATCTGACCTTCAGCTCTTTTAAATGAAACCTCAGTGTGTTGACAGAGAGAAGATGGAGATGATTCAGCCTGAAACTGAAATGATGGAGGACAACAGAGCTGCTTCATGGAAGAAGAACCTCAGCTTTAGCTTTAGCCTGTTAGCTTTTGCATTAGCTCCTCGACTAATAATTATATCTTTAGCGCCCATGCTAATAATATTAGCTCAGGAGATATCGTCATATTAGTAATAATTGTTTCCAGAGCTGATTACCTTCTGAGCTAATATATGCTAATATAAGGCCTTAGCTAATAATTGTAACTCGTGAGTTAAAGCCATATTGGTGTTATCTCCAGAGCTAATAAAGATAGCGTTAGCTCCCAAGCTATGACGTTAGTTCCAGAACTTATTTTCTAAACATCACATTTGATCATTTCAACCTGTTTTGTGCAGAACATAGAAATTAATATAAAATATTCTCACTCACACATTAGCTTTTGTGTGTGTTTGTCTCGACTAACTCATCATCATCCCCGAATTGTCAACAACTAGTGTGTCAAGGTAACTAGTGTGTGAACCTCTGCACGGATGCTGCTGTGACACCGGTATTTCCCCTCGGCGGGACAATAAAGGCTATTTCTATTCTTCTATTGAATTCTAACAAAATTGCAATGTGCAAAATGTAATAAACACAGACAATATTTTAAGTAATTGGATGTTTTCACGAGTCACAAGCAACAACTTTTAATAGAACAGAGAAATAGCAACATATCAACAATGTATCAAGGTGAAAGTTTTTGGAGATCCCTTTAAAAACTGAAACTAGGTTTTGGTTCCTGGTTTTGGTGTGCCACCCCCGTGACTGTTGGTGACGGCCCCATGGTTGAAAACTCTCTGGAGCCGGCCCTGTGTAAAGTGACTCTGCTGCTCTCTGTGAAGACGTGTGCAAACTGTCTGAAAATAAAATGCATCTAAAGACCGACTGATTTCTCATGACTGTTGTGTTTGGAGAGAAACGCCCGGCTCAAACATTCAACAGACATCTCCCGCGGTGTTTTTGTTGTGCACACATCACTGTCAGTCATTCTGTCGGGTAAAGTCAGGTTTGTTGTGTTTACTCCTGTAACCGACGGCCTCAGGCGTCTGGGTTTGGTCGTGAAGCAGCCAGGACATGAGACTGAGACTCCACCTAAAACCACACAGAGCCTGCACCAGATCCTCCCAAACAGGTGGGTGACACATGAATTTAACATGAATATTATAAACTCATATACTTTTAGAAATAAAGGTCAAACCACCACAAAATGTGTTCCCTGTTAAAAATCCTACTCAGAGAACCAGAACAAAAGTTAATCTCTGTAACATTTAAGCTAGCTGCTTTTCAAAATATTCATAGATGCATTGTGACAAATAATATCTGTTAGCTCAGTTTGGAGAAGTTTAATTCTGACCAGACTGATGAGTTCGGGTAGGGAGGGCCCGAACATCCAGCAATTAAAGTTATTATGTAAACAAACCAAGTATTACAAAGATCTGTTACCTTTTCAAATAGTTTATTTTGCTGCCTTTAATCATGAATACAACAAACAGAACCCTATACAACACATTCTGCCTCTAATTTACTACAAATAATATTTTAACATCTCTGACTTACCAAACGGTTAAACCAATTTTATTTTCACTTTCATAGTTTTATCTTCAACTGCTTGTAGTTTTAACTGTCTTGAGTGTTTATAGAAATGGTTTTACCAGCTTGTAGACAAGATTCTGATGTTTCTGTAGAAACAAACATGTCTGTGTTTTATAGGAGTGCAACAATACATGTACCCGTATCAAACAGTGTTTTAAGTTCAACACACACTTGTATGGAACAATACAAATTTTAACATTTATTTTATCAACTTGTCTTCTGAAGATGCTCTGTGTTGAAGGATCAGTGGATCTGTGTTCGACTACTCCACCTAGGCTGCATTTTTGAGCGCAGATCCACTGAGAAACTTGCTGTTTCAGCAACATTTAATTTAAAAACTGTACTTTTGAGGTTAAACAAATGTTCATAATTAATTTAAATAAATTACAAGTTAAAAGGGGCATGGACATTTCTCTTTGTATCGAAAAAATATCGAACCATGAGACTAAAGTATCGAACTGAACCGTGAATTTTCTGTATCGTTGCAGCCCTAGTGTTTAGCTAAAAGAACTTGGAATAATTAAAGTAGAAAACCAAGGGTTTGGTCTTAAGAGATGAATGAACCAATTGGCGGGCCGAACTTTGGTCACTCGCGGGCCGGATGTGGTCCGCGGGCCACCAGTTGAATAGCCCTGAGCTAATGGCCCGTCCAAACTGAATCAACACCAAAACAACATAAATCTCTTTAAGCAATGTTTTATCAATTTTTTACTTTGCCATCAGTTTGGCAACATGTGATCATTTACATCGAACTCTTGGTATCATAAATAGCAGCAGCAGCTAGCTGTAGCACTTCCAGCAGGGATATCTTAATATTTCTGCTGGTATGTGATGAGAAATTAACATGTTTACGTTAACTACTGTGACCTTTAGAGCTACTTGTCCCTCAGTGGTCTGGTCAGAATAATCAGAGGTTGTTCAAAGGCTATATCTACAACAGGTAAGATATTGTTTGTCCAACCCATAATTTTTTAGTCAAAGACTCCATGCGCTGTGGGTCATGCCTTCTAAAAGACAATAAAAAAGGAGTTAAGTCAGAAGAGGTTGAGCAGGTTTGTTACATAAACAACTGTACATCTTTGCATTAAATTGTGAAGGTGTGACTCACAGAAGACACAAACGTGCCGAAACAAGTGTGTGTTTGTGTGTGTTTACAAGGAAACAATGGTGCAAACTGTGAGCAGACAGTTCCAGCTCCAGGCCATGCTGTTGTAAAGATAGAGAAACTGAAACGAAGAGTTTTTCTTCTTCCAGTGAGGAGGCAGTTTGCTGCAGAGAGGAGGAAAACAAAGTTTTAAAAAGTCTTTAATAAAGTTTAGTTTTAATCTGATTAGTTGGTTTCCTTCTTCTTAAATCAGATCATGATACAACATCTGCAGTCACTCTGAAACTGTTCTTCCTCCTGGCTGCCAGATGGAGGCAGAGTTTTATCACAAAAAGCTGTGTGAGCAAACAAGTGAAGCTTAAAAGTACAAGTATCTTACCAAAAACTGACTTTGGTAAAAGTTAAAGTCTCCTTTAGGAATATTACTTGAGTAAAAGTGTTAAAGTATGTGATATTTGTTGTAGTTAAGTATTAAAAGTCAAAGTGTAGATTTAAAATGAGCAGTTAGATTTTCTGTAAGGACATTTATTAGGAGGTGACCTCCCCAAAAACTGCAGAAATGACTGTTGTATTAAAAGAATGAATGGATGTTAAATTTAGGATGCACTAGTCCAGCTGTTTCAGTTTATATACATATATCAAGGCTGCACAAAGCTTTTCCCCAAAATGAAAATCTATCTGAGGGCTGCGGCCAAATGTAATAATATAATTCATGAAATACAAATACTTCTTAAGTACAGTCCTTTTATTTGAATGATTCTGTCCTGCTGGAGTGTGACATGATTTGTTTGTGTACAAACTAATACACTATCAGAGTTTTATATATTTATACTTCTCATTCAACCACAGTTAAATTCACTCTATCTAGGAGGCTCAGTTTATATGGATAGTTTTTATTTTTTACAACAACAAGCTGCAATGAAAACAAGCAGAAATGAAATAAAAGAAACAAATTTATACTTCTTGTCTTTTTAAAAATGTAAGAAGTAAAAAGTAGGCTGAAAATAATTACTCAACTACTTACTCAGATATTATTATTGTCAATGAACAACATTAGTTTAGAGACAATACATGATGAACTAAGGAACTCTGAATTTGAACACAGTCTGCGTCTAAAGTCTTCGTCTCCCATCGGGAGACTGACTAACCTGTTCATCTTGTTAGTTCGATGTTAACTAATAAAACATAATTTAACAGAATATAATTGGTCTGCTAATGCTTTTCAAAGTTAGTAAAAAAGTTAATCAGCTAAACAAAAAATAGCTACGTTATTAGCTGTTAGCTGATTAGAAAAGCCAACAGGAAATCATGACAGAAACAAAAAATCACCATTTGTATCATATTTACTACGCAGGATTCTGTGACCTATATTTTATCAATGTGAACAATTTTCTTTCCTCAAAAACCTGTTGTATATCATGTGAGACCTGTATTCTGCCCTCTGGTGGATTTTCAATGTCCTGCAGGAAGTGGAACTTCTTTTTTTTTCCTTTTCAAAATGTCTGCTGACTTGAGGTCATCCACACATTTTTTCAGGAAAACATTTGCTAATTTTGGAGAAGTTATGGTAAGAATAACATTAATATTGTTCGTAATTTTTTAAATAAATACTTTCTGTGTTGAAACAATGCATAATTACTTAAAAATATTTTTAATAGTACATTTAAACCGTGTTAAAAATTTGTGTATCAAACTTGATACTGCAGGTATATAAGGTTCTACAGTCCTGAATTATCATGTGATATTTTAGTAATTTAATCAACAGTATTCTTGCCACAATACAACACACACTATTTTGG